TTGCTTACAATTCCTTCTAAAAGAGACATTACAACCCAGTATAGTATAACTTGTTATTGCACAATAAGGGACATTTAAGTAATTGAACAAGGTGTTGAATTCCAGTTATTGAATGAATAAAGTGTGCATATTTAGCTGTAACATACATAAACAAAAAAACTGTAAATCTTAACAAGATTATACAAATAAACAAAAAATAAAACTAAACCAGTTACAAAATGTTTTTTATGTGTTCAAAAAGAGGCACAGTCCTTAATTAGTCATATTCTGGTGAAATAATGATTCTGGCTTGCAGAAATACAGAAGCACATTACAGATTGCTAAATGTCTGTAAATGTGGTTCTTGTATTACATGTAAACATGATTAGGCAATGGTGGCACAACTATTGACAACATGCAGTTTCCAGTGAGTAAACTGCTGTTGACTTGAGTTCTGTTTGTTCGTGGTCTTATGGCGTCCTCTAGTGGCAATATACATCATGCTCCTAGACACTCTGGCTCAGTCTGCAAGCCTCTCACTGAATGTAAGTGATTAGTCAGGCTTTGAGGCAGAAGTTGAAACTCATGGTTCTTCTTCTTGCCTCATATTCCTCTGACTTAGAAGTGTAAACAACTTTGTTTACATCAATACACCTTTTCTCACAGCAAGCGCCACAGCAGGACCTCAAACAACCCGTTTGAAAACTTGCTTGCAGACGTGATCTTCACAGTGCAACTCCTATAATGGGGTTGAGAGGTATGAGTATTAGTGTATTACATTAACGTGTATTACAGATTTTTATAGTGTAAGATGCTTAATTTCACACTTACCAAATGGAGTTTGTCGTCCTCTATCCAGTGTGCCCAACCTCTGTTCTTCTTCTCGCCCTTTTGAATGCACACCAACTTGTTCCCCTCCCATGTCACCAGAGACTACACCAATAGATTTAGGTTTAATTTCAAACAGTGCATTAAGTGCATTCTCCAGATCATCTTTTCAGCAAATATTTGTATTCAAACAGCCTAAAGGGCTGTCAGTGTTCTTGTGTAGTAAGACTGTCAGTTTTCTACTATGAAATATGTTCTATTGAATGTCATGAAAATAAATAAATAAATACATAAATAATGTAACATTTAATTTTACCATGTCCTTGTTACATGTTACATGTACTACTTACTATAGTAATAACAGTAAATTATGTGTTGCAATAGAATGATAACACTCTACCTTGAAGTGTCTGTCATCCAGCGCCTTGGTGAACTCTACAAACTCCTCATTGACTCTGAAGGAGAAAGTGTAGTTTCTGAAGGTGCTGAGAGTCTTGACGACATATTGATCCCCCACCTGCTCGATCACTTTACGATGTTTTAGCTTCAGGGCGATCTTGCGGGTGTACAGACTGATCCCTGTGAGAAGAGAGTTTAGGATCTATTATTGCTGACATACATTAAAAAATGGAATAATATAATAAATATAATATCATATAATAAAACATGCAATTTGTCAGTTTTAGCAACAGAATTAAGAGCAATTATTAATTTCACAGGACAAAGAATGCACTCTTACCTAAAGCAATCATGTATCCCTCAAAGTTGACGTTGCTCACCATGTCCCAAGTACCACAGAGGCTTACAGGCATTTTGTTAACCGTCTGCAAATTATTCCAGTAGAAAACAAGGTGCAAGGTATAACAGACGGAAGGATTCCCAGCACTTATATGTGTTGATTGCTGAGTGGGCGGTGCTTAGTAGTCTACGTATTCTAATCTGCACGTCGTCAACTCTTTAAAGGTCATACCTTACGTAAAGTAAAACGTGTCTGGCAAGTGTTTGTGTGGAAATAGTTTGGCAAAACACCCCCGTAAACACAATAGCACCTGTTCAGACGCTAAGTAAGTCATGTAAAATGCGACGCTTGATAAAATAAGCGGTATATTACAAAATCCTATAAGATATTCACACTCATTTTACTTTCGTTAACTTCGTTTGCATGCCTTCCATTGTTCTGTTCTTCCTTGTAACTTGAACAAAGGGTTCTTAGCAGCAAAAAAAAAAAAGTTCCATTACTGTCAAGTGATCCCACATACGACATCATCATCATCATCATCATCATCACATGAGCGCCACAAAGAAAAACAATCATGCACGTGAAATTACTGTGAATTTCTTAAAAGATGATAAGACACCGAAACTTACTATTTTGAGCATGTGAGGATGAATAAGTGTCAACTAACTTTCGTTAACTTCGTTTGCATGCCTTCCATTGTTCTGTTCTTCCTTGTAACTTGAACAAAGGGTTCTTAGCAGCAAAAAAAAAAAAGTTCCATTACTGTCAAGTGATCCCACATACGACATCATCATCATCATCATCATCATCACATGAGCGCCACAAACAAAAACAATCATGCACGTGAAATTACTGTGAATTTCTTAAAAGATGATAAGTAAAGAGACCGAAACTTACTATTTTGAGCATGCGAGGATGAATAAGTGTTAACTACAACTGAATTAAGTGGCATTATATGGATAAAATAAAATGAATAAAAATAATTATGCTTAAAATGTAGGCTATCGTGGATCATCTGTTAAAGCTTAAGACATCTTTTGTAAATCACGACTGATTAATCAAATCGGATCACAATAAACAAAACTACAAGGTGTCAAATGTGACTTGGAAGTGCATATTAGGCTACACCTGCTCTGATGTTTTTATTATATGCAAATGTCATCAACCAAAGTGACACAATCAGTAAAAGGCCCATTAATTTGATCAATGAATGCAAAATAAATCTTTCATTCGTATGAGTTTTGTGAGTCAGGGAAACTCGGGTAATGTCCTTTTCTTGTTTAGTATTTCTAAATTTTACCAGGTCACGAGGACATGCCTGAAGGAGAATATAGATGACAATGGATATGTTTAAGTGTGACCTTCACAGGAAACAAACTACTTCACTATATGCAAGGCAGAAAGGAAGTTTCTGTGGTAATCATGTTATTCCTGGGAATTCCCACTTTTATTTAGTCTATGTGTGCTAAAACAAAAGGCCTCATATATTAGCACTGATCTAACAGGTCTTCAGATTAAGATCATGTTTTGTAACTATGGAAAAGCTTGTAAGAGCTTCACTGTCAAACTCCTGTTCTCCACATGCCAAGATGTCAGCACTAAAACACAAAGATAAAAAATATCTGATGTTTAAATGCTCAGAGCAGATGTTCTCACTTGTCAAATAAATGTCACTGAGCAAATGTGGCATATCATACCTTCACAATGACCCTTAACCTGTTATATAAGCATTTTGTTTTAAAGATTACAGATATGTATTATAATAAAAAAAGAGAGGTTACACTTTACTTTAAAGGACATTTAAGTACTGAGTAATATTAAATTCATGTACTTACTATATGTTTAGGGTTACTTGCATGTAATTATGCATAATTTATTGTTATTATAATCAGTTATTATAATCGTAAGTACATGAAACCTGTAACAAGGACACCTTAAAATAAAGTGTTACCAAAAGAGAAAAGGATGATTGTAACCAGATTTTACATTTATTAGCACCCAAATGGAAGAACATTTATTGGAGGCAAACAGTGAGCTTAAAACTCAAAAATAATTGATAAAAATTCCTCTTCTAAAAGTGATTTTCTATGTTTGGCAGTGAACTACAATAAAAGTAATTATATGAATGTATCAACCTTTATTAAAATCAAATCAAATAATATTTTACAAAATGTATCCTATATTATTCATGATACAATGCAAAGCAATCACTCGCAACCAAATGAGTTCAAGGAAGCAAAATGAACTATGAATCAAGTTCTGTGGGTAACAGACCAGCCCTCCACCAAAGACCACAAACAGTACAAGAAACTAGCTCAAAAGCAGCAGAACATCAGTCTAGTTAGTGCTGGTGTATCTCTGAAAAGGGGCAAGGATAGCATCAGCATTCATCTGCTCGCTCTCAGCGCTATACAGACTGTGTTCCTGAATGTAGCGCACCACAGGGTCAGGCAGCAGGTAGCGGACACTCTGTCCTCTCCGTAGGGCACGGCGCACATGGGTGGCTGAGATCTCATTGGTCACCCATTCCCGAACCATACAGATGTTCTTACGGTGTTTGTATAGCACATCAGACTGATTGATAAACTTCTCAGGGTCACTGCCACATCTGGTGATGCACGCCACACCGTAGCGGCCCACTATCTCCTCAATGTCCTCTGGCTTCCAAAGGTTGGGGACACCAAATGACTCCAGCACATCAGCACCACACAGGAGGTTCAGGTGAGGGGTGTCTAAAATATAGATTTATGACAATGATACATATCATACTAGTGATACTGACTGCTTTAATCATGGATCTTTTTATAAAAGTCATGAGTCTTGACTTGAAAAATGTGCTCCTTTTCAAAGCCATTTGGGCAAGCTAACACTATATGTTAATTACAGTATGGTTAGGCTGTTCTACTGCAACTAAATGTTATTAAAGCATGAAGACAGAGTACGTAGAACATAATAGAATGGCATAGCAAAATAAATTATATTTTAGCTTATTTAAAAAAATAATAAGTTGCACTACCGTTTAAAAGTTTGAAGTCATTACGATTTTATACTTAAATTATTATTCGAAATTAACACTTAATCAGCAAGAATACACTGAATCAAAAGTGACAGCAAAAACATTTATAATATTACAAAAGATTTTTATTTCAACTGAATTCTATCCTTTTGAACTTTATATTCATCAAAGAATCCTAAAAAATAATGTTTTCCACACACATTTTACAGCACAACTGTTTTCAACATTGATATTGAGATATATTTCTTGCACATCAAATCAGCATATTAGAATGATTTCTGAAGGATCAAGAGACACTGAGGCATCAAAGAAATTAATTACTGTTAGGACCAGTTACTGCTGTAAAAATCAGTGCTTACTGCAAAATCCAGTAGGAAACACTGGTCTGTTCTCAAAAAGCATTTCTCCTTTTTCTCTTCATTAGTTGCTTCAATTCTCACTTATTACACCTATACATTTGCTTCAAAGTGTTCCACTTGCAGAGGAATGCTGACAGACAGTGCTGAGAGCTGCAGATTGTGCTGAACTGTGTAAACACATAAATATAACTCGCTGTACATTGTTTCTCTGCTATCCTGAGGGCACAACAGCCGTTAATTTCATTGCCTGTTGTAAGGTATTGTGACAGAGTGGCATTCTAAGGTAAACACCCTTTTAACCGCCCTGAGCAGTAGGAACATTTATCCTATGAAGGATTATTTTATCATACCTTCTTTTGTGTTAATATAAGAAGAGCTCTGACAGATGATTGTATTTTGCTCCAGCTTTCTCCTCTTCCCACACCTCACTGTATCCACATCATCATTGTTGTTCTCGCTGGAAATAAGTTCTGCATGGTGCCTAGTAAAGATCAGAATGATCTGATTAAATGTCAATTTGGCATAAAACTTGACGTAGTAGCACATCAAATATGACGTCCAACCACACAAGATCAGACGTGACATGGAACTCGTGCAAAAATAGAAAACACCACAATACTTGCAAAACAAAATGGGTGTGTCAGATTTATCTTTCACTTTACCCAAAATGAAATGTTCACTGAAATCACGTGATCTTAAGATGTTCCCACCGAACTACTTTGGCTGTCTCCACCCACTCCGGCTGCTGGCTCTCCCAGTCATCCACTGTGATCCAATCAGAGTTCTGCGTGGCTAGTCTAGCCATCTCTAACCGATGACGGGCTTCAATCAGACCTTTCTTTTTGTAGCTATCTCCAACTGGAGAGATTATGCCTTTCACCACTCTGTATCTTCCTAAGTCCACAAAAAAGTTATGTATGTTAAATATGCATATTTGATGAGTGATAACACAATAAGGCATAGTTCACCCCAAAAATAACATTTTGTCGTCATCACTTGTTGTTCCAAACTTGTATGAATTTCTTTCTTCTGCTGAACACAAAAGAAGATATTGCAAAGAATGTTGGTAACCAAACAGTTGCTGGTAGCCATTGACATCAATACAATTGTTTTCTATACTATGGAGGTCAACTGTTTGGTTGTTCTTTTGTGTTCAATAGAAGAAATACTCATACAGGTTTGGAACAACTTGCGGGGTGAGTAAATGACGACAACATTTTCATTTTTGGGTGAACTAGGCCTATACCTTTAACACATTATTAATTTAAAACATACCAGTGTCTTCAAGGTGATCCCGAGCCAGTTCGAACATACGCAGGTGCATGTTTGTGATGGGGTTGAAGGACCCACATGCCAGCAGCACCACTGGTTTCTCTCGTGATGACATTGATCATATAAAAAACGCTGTCTGCAGAAAAAAGTCATCTAGATAAAAATACATAGACAACATATTTTATATATAACACACATATACAAATTATTATTAATAATAAAGCGTTGCTTCTGGAGGTATTGTTGTTGTAATTAAATATAAACATATATAAATTAAATGGATATCACAACTAAAAATCTCGTTTCATGTCTCAAAAGTGTAACGTTAGGTAACGTTAGTAAGATTTAGCATTACTACTATAGTTCATGAGGAAACAGTGTAATAAATAACTATTCTTAAAGATTCAAACGGGTTTTGGAATGATATTCTATACAATAAAACGCCATTTCACAAATATGCGCAATAATATGTCATGAAAGCAGGACTAAACGTGTTTACTTCTTACCAATTCAACAAACTTGTCTCGTGCTTCCTATTTGTCTGCCTGCAGTGTTTCAGTAAAACTTCACCGACTTTATTAAACCAACAGATGCAGCGAAATATTGCTCTATAGTAAACAAACAGCAAGACCGACAGAATGTGAAGTTCTTAAAATATTCGTCTTTTTTGCCTTGTTGTAATACCAGTGCTGTGGAACAAATGCTGAATGCGCAGTTCATACGTGTTCAGAGTGTGTTCATGATAATCAACTCTGCGCAGAGTCTACGCAGAAAAGCCATTGGATTTCTATTGAAGATAAATAGTGCTAGCAAACCACACCTTAGCAACTGGATTTAGGAACTTAAATCTTTTTGTAATTTTGTCTTTATCAGTTGGACGTTTTTGGAGGTAAAAGTACGGGTGAGAGTTACTACTTGATTCACGTAAAACCACGTCGTTTAGGACTCTACAGTTCGTACATTTGTTTGGTTTTATATATTTTAGAGCAAGCTAAGCTAACTGCGCAGTGAGAGCGAATAAAGCAGGGTGACAAAAGAATGTGATTTATTTCATGTATTCATGGATGTGATACCAGATCTCTCATGGTTAACCAAGATTAAATAACAGTATTCACCTTGATACAGCCAACAATGCATACTAATTCTGATCAGTTCAGTTCAAATACCTGTGTGGATATCGCATCACATCAGCTTACATTCACATATGTCGCAACAGTAGGAAATGTCATGTTTTGTATGAAAAGATGTGATTTGTGTCTGTTATTTATTTCAAAAGATAAAGAATGGCTTCTAGAGGGACATCAGAAACAAGCAAACTGAGACAAAACATGGAAGAACAGCTGGACCGGTTAATGCAACAGCTTCAGGATTTAGAGGAGTGCAGGTAATGGCATCCCACCAGTTCTCTGTAACACACATTCAGTTACATGCACAAATTTGATTATTTTTTCAATTGCAGAGAAGAACTTGAAGAGGAGGAATATGAAGAAACCAAAAAAGAGACACTAGAACAGTTGAGCGAGTTCAATGAGTCATTAAAGAAGTTGATGTCTGGGAATATGACACTAGTTGATGAACTGGGGGGAATGCAACTGGTAACAATTTAGATTTTATTTTATTAAAGTTCATATGTGACCCTAGACCACAAAACCAGTCATAAGGGTCCATTTTTTTTATTCAAATGTGTACATCATCTGAAAGCTGAATAAATAAGCTTTCCATTGATGTATGGTTTGTTAGGATAGGACAATATTTGGCCGAGATGCAACTATTTGAAAATCTGGAATATGAGGGTGCAAAAAAATCTAAATAATGAGAAAATTGCCTTTAAAGTTGTTAGCAATGCATGTTACTAATCAAAAATTAAGTTTTGATATATTTACGGTAGGAAGTTTACGAAATATCTTCATGGAACATGATCTTTACTTAATATCCTAATGATTTTTGGCATAAAAGAAAAATCGATAATTTTGACCCATACAATGTATTGTTGGCTATTGCTACAAATATAACCGTGCTACTTATGACTGGTTTTGTGGTCCAGGGTCACACACACACACACACACACAAACACACACACACACATATATATATATACAGTATATAAATTAACAGATGCCTTAAACATATTTATTTCAACTGAAAAACTGAAATGAAAGATTTGTTCTGTA